TCGCAAGACTCTATCAGGCAAATGAAGCTCAACAATGTCAAAACATATCAACGGCACACGTGCTCGCCATATGTGAGTATGCTCTCGTCCAGCTGGGGGTAACTCTGCTAACATCTCAGGTGTAAATGGCATCCATGTAATCTGTTTCATAAAGATACAAAATTAGCAGATTTTCTATACATATTATAGTTAATGTTATACTACCCACACCATACCTGGTCCTCAGACATCCGATCAAATGCATCCATGTACACACCGAGCCCAATAGCGGATGACATGCAAGATAGACCAGCATATAGCATCTAACCATTCATTTAACAATATAACTAATATGGATATTATTAATGTATTTACACACAACGTACACTCACATAAATACAAATGATTGAAAACATACCGACGGCCTAGAGGGTCCTCACCCCGTACATGATGAGGTCCTAGAAGACGTGGAGGCTCATCAGGCAGTGGCTGTCCATCAATGCCATGATATCCGACTATAATGGGACGCCCAATGTGGATATACTCCCATGACCAAATCTGGAGGAGTAGCAAAAATCCCCCAAGCTCTGTGCTCCCTCTCTCGCAGCCGCGACAAAGCTGTCTGTACAGGTAAGCCAGGATGGCAGTGGCTGTTCGAAATTTGTAACATTCAAAACCCTAAGTTCAAAATGAGATGAAATGGATTTTGATTTACCTAGAAGAAAGAAGAAAGAGTGTTGAAGATGATGGAGATGAAGGATTCTTGGGAAGATGGAGGAGACCTCGCCGGAGCTCGAGAATCGCCGGTCGTCGCTCGCTGCTGGTGGGGGGATTCGTCGGTCGCTGCTGCTGCTCTTCACTTTGAGTCGCCCAAGTGTTCTGTCTTTCTTTGCCCCGACCCCTTTTTTAGTTAAAGAGAAAGTCGCCCAACGGTTGGGTGACTTTCTCCCGACCATGGTTAAACCAGCAGTATTTTGGTAAATACTTTTAACCCAACCCTATTTTCGTAATTAATTAATTAACATTAATACGGAAAAAATCTCAGTTTTTTTTAACCAAGAGTGCTAAAAGTATTAGAAGGCAGAAAGGCAGGAATATTGTCGATTGATAATTCAAAGATGTGAGAATATTGTTGATTGAGATGTCCGAATGAGTTGCTGGCCTGTTAGGGAAGGTGTGAGAAAAACGTCGCTCCAACGATTGATTGTTCGGCATTTCAGTACGGAGTAATATTTAATTTGTTTAAGGGACATTTTTGTACTTGGCAAATACTCCATTAAAAATTACTTTTTTTTCAAACATTCCAACTTTTACCTTTTGATTAAATCACTTCTATTTACAAATACTATGTACTTTTACTATGAATTACTTCTTCAACAATCTCTAAAATAAATCACTTTCAAAAAGTAGAAGCAAACACAAACATAGCCAAAAACATCCTCAAACCAACTTTCAAAATTTGTCTTAAAGAGATATACACTGGTTATGGTTGATTACTACTCTAGATACACATGGACAGTGTTCTTAACAAAAAAGAATGAAACTCTTCAGAAGTTGCCATCTCTGTTAAAGCAACTTCAGACTGAGAAGAATATGAAGGTCAGGACAATCAGATCTGACAGAGGAACTGAATTTGTCAACCAAGTGATCAAGGACTTCTGTGATCAAAATGGAACCTTTCATCAACTATCTGCTGCCAGAACACCTCAGCAGAATGGAGTTGCTGAAAGGAGGAACAAAACACTGAAGGAAGATGCAAGAACAATGATTGCTGAATCAGGATTACCAATAAGATACTGGGCTGAAGCAATCAACACTGCATGCTACACCCAGAACAGAAGCATGATCCACAAGAACTATCAGGACACCCCCTATGAACTGTGGAAAGGAAGAAACCCCAACATCAGCTACTTTCACATATTTGGATGCAAATGCTACATTCTCAACAATGGAAAGGAGCATCTGAAGGTCTTTCAAGAAAAAGCTGATGAAGGTGTATTCATAGGCTACTCAAGCACAAGCAAAACCTATAGAGTACTCAACAGAAGAACCCTACATGTTAAAGAATCCATACATGTAAAGTTTGATGACAACACCTCTGTTGAAGAAATAGCAGAGACCCTGGAGAAGACCAACTTAGAAGATAAGTCTTTTGAACCTACAGAAGAGGTCAACCCAGTTTTCCAACCCCTTCTGGTAACCCCCTTCTGATAGACATTGATGAAGATGAAGATTCTGAAGATGAACAACCAGAGAAACCCAGACAACAATTGACAGAACCTGATCTAACTTGGTTAAGGGATCACCCCCCTAATCAAGTAATTGGTCAAGTCTCTACCGGAGTTCAAACCAGATCATCTCTATCTAGGAGAGAAGCCATGTTCACCTGCTGCATATCTCAAATGGAACCAATGAGTGTAGAAGAAGCTCTTGATTGGATCAATGCAATGCAAGAAGAACTTACCCAGTTTGAAAGGAACCAAGTGTGGGAACTTGTTCCTAGACCAAAGCACTAGAATGTCATTGGAACCAAATGGGTATTCAAGAACAAAGCAGATGAAGAAGGCAACATTGTAAGGTATAAAGAAAGACTAATAGCAAAGGGTTACTGCCAAGAGGAAGGCATAGATTTTGATGAGACCTTTGCACCTGTTGCAAGACTAGAAGCAATCAGGATATTTCTTGCCCATGCTGCTTACAACAACATCAAGGTCTACCAGATGGATGTTAAAAGTGCATTTCTGAATGGAGAACTGGAAGAGGAAGTCTATGTGGAACAACCTGGTGGTTTTGTCATTCCTACTCAATCCTCTTGTGTCTACAAGCTTAGGAAGGCCCTTTATGGTCTTAAGCAAGCTCCTAGAACCTGGTATGACACATTGTCTCTATTCTTAGTGAACCATGGGTTTACTAAAGGAAAGGTTGACAAAACTCTATTTAAGATTTCTGTTGTTGATGTACTTATATTTTACACACCTTTTAGGCTTAGTTTGTTAATAATTTTAGTTAATAAAGTTGTATCTTTGTACATATTTTTATTATTTGATGTTAGTTTGTATTAGTGCAATTCTATACGGGTATTTTATATTTTCAGGAACTTTTGATGTCATTTGGATACATTTGAGTGTGAAAAAGAGAAGAAAATAAAAGTTCAAGTTGGAAGACAACAAAAGTGGAATCTCCTTCAAAGCAAATATGGAGTACATTGAAGAAAGAAAGCAAAAAGTGAAAAACACGAAGGTGGGATTCCAACCTTTGCCAAGACGGGGGAGTAGAGCTAAGCAAAACCAGCGCGCTACTATGTCAAAGTTTAATTTGGTAGCTGGAAAGCTGTATACATTATTGTAGTCGCAGCACCGAAAAGAAGAACAAAAAGCCTTCACGGGGGTTCGAACCCGCGACCTACGAGCAATGAAATGTCAATACATCAACTCCTGCTGCGCCAAAGTCAATTGTTGGTTTCCTTTATACGCCTTTTGGTATCTAAACACATCGTTTCCGTAAATTCCAGCCATTAATGATTAATCATCTTATCATTATAAGGCTTAATCCATCTCCTTCCACACATAATCTCGAGCCAACTTCTCTCTACACCTCCCAAAATCATTTTCTCCTCCTTCTCTCTTCATTCTTCATCTCCAAATCATCAACCAATCTTCAACATCAATTAATCACTTTCTCAATCAAGATTAAAGTCAAGATTAGCACCAAGCTCCAAGGATTAGCATCTATCACAAGTTTGATCTTCCTTATCTCTTTAAATCTTGTACTTCAATCATGAATTCATCTATTTCTAAGCTTCCCAACATGTATAGCTAAATAAATTTGGGGCTAGAAATTGGTTAATTAATTGTTCTTATCATGTTTTAATTTGTATTGATTTTAATTGTTAAGTTTGTTCTATTTAGATTGTTGTGTCCAGAAAATTAATTATGTTATGTTTGTGATATATATTATGAGTACTCAATCATAAACATATTGTTTGTTAAATACACAAATGAACACTTTCTGAACACACCGTTAAACTTCTTTTACCTTGTCCCGGATTGAAGTTTTACGGGAGAATTTAATTATTTAATTATATTATTTACACCACGGGGTTGGGTAAATAATATAGTTAATAATTAAGGTTGTCGTTGCACTTAAACAACTAGTCTCATTTTGGCCATCACTGGGAAATGTTGACTAGTTACTTATTTTAGATGACTTGTGTTGGGTCCTAAAATATTTATCCACAACTTCTCACAATCTATCTACGAATAAAATTAGCAATTATTTCTTTCAATTAAACATTGAACAATTAGTTACTAATTTCTACCCCTACTTACTATTGGTTGAACTTTGTGTTGATAAAAATCTCTCATCTCAATCACTTTTATTTTATTACTTTTCCAAGCAACCAAAAAAAAATCAAAAGAAACGCACTCCCAACTTTAATCCTTAGTTTGTGCTTAATTATTTTATTTTCCGCTTCTCTGTGGTTCGACACCCTACTTCCTTGGGTAAAAAAATAGTTGTGTGCCCATTATATACTACACACCAACTTGGCGCCGTTGCCGGGGAAGCGGTTTTGAAAAAAAAAGTGAAAGCATGAACTTTTGATTTTAGTTATTGTAAATTGTGTGTATATTATTTTGTTGTTATCTTGTTTGCTCTTGCAGGTTAAAAAAAACGAGTAATTAATTAAAGTTAAAAAAAATGATTTGTGATTAATTACCTTACCTGAGCATTGGAGTTGGACTTGTTAACTGAACATATATTTGGACATTTGGACCATTGGACATATTGTCACATTTTAATTCAACGGATAATCCGCCTATATGGTCGGACCGCTAATTTGTACATATTAATTCAACGGATAATCCGCCTATATGGTCGGACCGTTTACTTGTACATAATAATTTAAAGGATACTCCGCCTACATGGTCAGACCAACACTTTAATTTCTGCACTTTAATTATCGCACTTTAATTTCTGCACTTTAATTATCGCACTTTAAATTCTGCACTTTAATTATCGCACTTTAATTTCAGCAATTTAATTTCTGCATTTTTTTTGCATCCCCAAGCTTGTCGGCCGTGTCCGCTTGTTGGTGGCGTGCACTTTTTATTTTATTTCTTAATAATCCCCAGACTGTCGGCACAGCTGCATCTTGGCGGAGACTGTATTTATTACTGTAGTTATTTTTTTTCCTTCCTCTCAAATCACCATATCTGTCGGCCCTGCCGCATCCTGGTGAATTACTGTATATATTAATACTGCTTTAAGGGCTCACTAGTCTCGGTTTATACCAATTGACTACGTGCGAACCTTAATTAATTAATTACACATTTTTTTTTCTTTTCATCTCTCTCTCTCTCTCTTCCCAATCCCGATTCCCATCTGCTTATGCTTACACGTTCACGTGGTGCAAATTGTGAATTGTTATTCTTCTCTGACATTGAAAAGCACATACGTGAACAGAAAAAAAATAAAAAAAATGTCAAACGATGTTGTTGTAAATGAGCAGGAACCAGATCAACAAATCGTGGATCAGGTTACAAGGACCAGGAAACCGTTGTATGATTATGTTACGCCTCCCGTGGATGAGCATGACAGTGTTATTCCACCGGAGGTTAACATGAACCAATTTGAAATCAAGCCTGCTATCATCCACATGGTTTCAAATGATCGATTTGGCGGAGCGCCAACGGAGGATCCAAATAATCACATCACAAAGTTCCTTCGAGCTTGCAACACCTTCAAAATCAATGGTGTGCCATCTGATGCTGTCAGACTACGCCTATTCCCATTCTCTCTACGGGATCGAGCTCAGAGTTGGCTTGACTCTTTTCCAGACAATCACTTCTCCACTTGGGATCAACTTCATGGTGAATTTCTCAAAAGATTTTTTCCAGCCATCTAAAACGGCGAAAATCCGGAGAATGATTCAAAATTTCAAACAAAATCCCAATGAGCCCCTCTACGAGGCTTGGGAAAGATTCAAAGATCTTCAGCGACAATGTCCACATCATAACATCCAAAACTGGCACTTGATGACGGCTTTCTATGAAGGCCTAAGTGAAAATTCTCGGATACTTGTGGACGCGTCCGCAAATGGATCATTCATGTGCCTAGAACTTGAAGAGGCAGAAGAATTGATGGAACGCATTTCATCAAATGGATCAACATGGTATTCTGAGCGATCATCTGCTCCACCAAAAATCGGAGGCATGTACGAAGTTGATCAAATGTCGGCCATAACCACAAAGGTTGATAACATGATGACTCTGATCCAAAAGATGGCACAAGTCTCTCTTGTGCAAAACCCTGCATCAACTCCACCTCCGGTTCCCGTTCTTATGTGTGAATCTTGCGGTGGACAACACAATCAGTCCACTTGTCCATGGGAAGCAATGGAACAAGTTGACTATGTCAACTACAATACGCAGCCCCAACAAAATCAGTTTGGTAATTTCAATCCTCAAGGAAGAAATCATCCCGGTTTTTCCTGGAGCAATCAAAATGGAGCTGCTAATCCACAACAAAATTACCGAAGTGCACCACCCGGTTTCCAAAATCAACAACAGCAATTCAGAGGTGGACAAGGTGTTGTGAACCAGCAACAATACAAACCTACCCAAAATCTTCCATACCATTCAAATCAACAACAAAAACCACTTCTACCCACTCCTGAAACAGCCCAAACTCCTGTCCTAGAAAACATTGTTGACCAACTTCTCAAGTCCCAATTATCTCAAGCCGAAACCCTGAAACAAATCACCGAAGAACTTGGTCAACTTCGGGCTCACAATAGGATGCTTGAGAATCAAATTGCAAATCAAGCATCTACATCATCAACTAAGGTGACGGGTAAGCTACCTGCTTGTCCTGAAAACCCGAGGGAGCAAATGAATGTCGTCACTACTTGGAGTGGGAAACAACATCAATCCTTGCCCCTTTCTAGTGATGAACAAGAACATGAAGTGTTGGAGGAATGGGTCGTGCAACAACAGAAAGGTGGAAACAATAACAATGAACTTGATGTCGGCACCATGCCGAAATCATCTGATGACCGTGAAGGGTCTAAGAAACAAAGAGAAAGTCTGGTAAGGAAATACATTCCCCCAGTTCCTTATCCGAACAGATTGAAGAAAGCTAATATGGAGGAGCGGAGAACTAAATTTTTGAATGTTATCAAGCAATTGGATATCTCAATTCCCTTGCTTGATGCCATTACAGAAATTCCTTCATATGCTAAATTTCTCAAAGATATTCTCACAAAGAAGAAGGAGAATCCAGCTACTGTTGCAATGAGTCAAGAATGCAGTGCCATCATCCAAAATAAAATCACACCCAAGTTACGTGATCCTGGAAGCTTCTCAATTCCATGTACCATTGGTGGATCCAAAGTTAACAAAGCTCTTTGTGATCTTGGTGCAAGTGTTAGCTTAATTCCTTATTCACTATGTCAAAAGCTACACTTGGGGGATCCCAAACCAACAACAATGGCATTACAATTGGCTGATCGGTCTGTCAAATATCCTATCGGCATTCTTGAAGATTGATAGAGTATTAATTCTAGAGAGAAGTGAGAGCTAGAGAGAGGAAGTGAGTAATTATATTTCTCAACTTGGAACCCCCTATAATTAGCCCCTTGGGGTCTATTTATAGGTAAAAATGTGGATTTGGGCCCCTAGCCTTGGGCTTAGGAGGCCCATTACAATAATCATGCCTTCTTTGGGCGAATAGGGCCACTAATGGGCTGAGTACAACACTTAGTACATAAAATAGGTAAATACATTCTGCCTGGACGAAGTCCGGACGATGCGGTCCATGGACGATGCGGTCCATGGACGATGCGGTCCATGGACGATGCGGTCCATGGACGATGCGGTCCATGGACGATGCGGTCCATGGACGATGCGCTCCCTTGGCCGATGCACTCCCTTGCCGACGCGATCCCACTTTGTCTCCAGGCCGCATCCTGAGTAATTTCAGTTCGAGACCGATGCGACACCTTGTTGGCCGATGGGGGACCCAAACGGCCGAAGGGATGCAAAGTGGGTGTCTATCTTTAGTAGTTTGATCCTTTGAGTATGTGGGCTATGGGGTCTGCGCCCATATACTCTATCAGGAGTCCCCCACTCTCTGAGCTGAGAAGAAGACGAAGTGAAAGGGAGTAAACATGTTTGGTTGCTTTTGGCCGATGAGGGGCCATGCGTGGTCTGATGGCTTCTTTGTAGTTGATGGACGATGATGGCCGATGTCATTGGCGTTGTTTAATGGTGATGACTTGCCATTGTCTTTGAAGGGTGATGTAGATCCCTTGAGTTTGTTCTTTGTGGAAGATGAGGCGTGACTATTTCTTTAGTAGGCAATGTACGTCCGTTGTTGCTCTCCTTTTGTGTTCTGGCTTTAGCCGAGGTTGACCCACAGGCGTGTAAACGTTGTGGCGTCGATGCGTAGCTTTGTGATGAAGTGTGACTCATCATTTTGAGGATGATGCGCATCCTCTAGGTTCACCTTTTGGATTGGCCGAAGGCAAATCTATGTATTTGTTGTTGTTGTGATGCAGATGATGTGACGATCTTGCTTTGTTTTTGCTTTTGAGTTTGCTTAGTTTTTTGAGGCCAATGTAGTCCCCCAGTCCCCCACTCCTTGAGGCAAATGTAATGAGGTGAAGAGGAGTAGAGTGATGTGTGTCTTCAATAGGGGCCGAAGGTTGACACCTTTTGGTCCACAATGGGGAGATGCCTCGTTAAAAACCTCATTAGGAAAAACCCAGTGGGAAAAATCCTGATGAGGGAAAAAGAGTGCACTGGATGCCCCCAAAACGAAGCAAAAGGTGCATGTGAGCCCTTCGGCCCAGAGCCGCAGCGGCGTCCGTCTGAAGATGAGGACGGCACTGGACGCCCGTCTGAATATGAAGGACGATGCTGATGAAGCCCGTCTAAAGATGAAGGTCAGCGTTGATGAGCCGATCCATTGAGGACGACGGCATTGATGAGCAGGTTTGCTGATGAAGGACCAGGCGTTGGCGCCCGCCTGAAGATGGAGGACGGCGCTTGACGCCTGTCTGTTGAGGACGTCGTCCAAATCGGCACCCATTACATTTCTCGTGACTCCAACCCCTAGGCGGTCATGCCCAAGGTGACCCTGTGGGAGAACCCTTGGACGAAGGTCGCAGGCTAGAGGTTGTTATCGAACGAGTTTCGCCCGAGTGGCCGAAGGTTTAAGCCTCATCTCTTGGCTGATGGATGTCAATCATGATTGCGGGGTCATCTTCGACCGTAGTGAGGATGCGAGGATGAAGCGCTGTTTGAATATGGGGACGAAGCGTTGCACACTTGTCTGAATATGGGGACGAAGCGTTACACGCTTGTCTGAATATGGGGACGAAGTGTTGCACGCTTGTCTGAATATGGGGACGAAGCGTTGCACACTTGTCTGAATATGGGGACGAAGCGTTGCACGCTGGTCTGAATATGGGGACGAAGCGTTACACGCTTGTCTGAATATGGGGACGAAGTGTTGCACGCTTATCTGAATATGGGGACGAAGCGTTGCACACTTGTCTGAATATGGGGACGAAGCGTTGCACGCTGGTCTGAATATGGGGACGAAGCGTTGCACGCTTGTCTGAATATGAGGACGACATCGATGATGAGCTGGTCCATAAATCCAAGCAACGGTCGCCATCCAGCAAAGGAGTGGCTAAGACCGGTCTTCATAAAGATAATCGTGCCGTGCCGAGAGGCCGGTCGTGATGTAAGGATGGCGATCATGAGGGGCCGATCCGAATGTGGATGATAAGGCGAAGATGAGCTGGTCATCATGTAAAGGTGACGGTCACCATCCCGGAAGGGATTGCGAGCCCGGTCCCTATACCAAGACGTCGGCGTTGGGGAGCCGGTCTTTGGATGAGTATGATGGCGTCAAAAGGCCGTTGATGAAATGATGACGAGCCGACGATGAAGCCTATCGTCCTATAAGGGCGACGGTCGCCTATCCGGGAAGGGAATAGCGAGCCCAGTCGCTAAACCAAGACACTCAGCGCTATGAAGCGAGTCTTGATATAAAAGTGATGGCTTTGATGAGGCCGGTCCTGTAATGAAGGACAAGACATTGACGCTCATATGGAGATGAAGGACGACGATGGACGTCCGTTTGTTGATGAAGGACGACGCGGGGGCGTCCGTCTGTGGAAGGAGGACGACATTGGGCGTCTGTCTGATGATGAGGACGACGTCTGCTCATTGAGGACGACGTCCTTCATGAAGTCGGTCCTTTGATGGACTAGATGTTGGCGTGCGTCTGACGATGAGGACGCTGCTTCTGCGACCGTCTGATGATCAGGACGACGTCTGCCCATTGAGGACGACGTCATTGATGAGGCCGGTCCTTTGATGGTGAAGGACAAGGCATTGGCGTCTGTCCGATGATGAGGACGACGCTTGCTCATTGATGACATGTCGTTGATGAAGGACGACATTGGGCATCCGTCTGTTGATGAAGGACGACGCTGGGCGTCTTCCTTTGATGAAAGACGATGATGGGCATTTTGTCTATTGATGAGGACGACGCGGGGCGTCCATCTATTGATGAAGGATTACGTTGGTCGTCTATCTTTGATGAAAGACGATGATGGGCGTTTTTCCGTTGATGAGGACGACGCGGGGCGTCCGTCCGTTGATAAAGGATGATGTTGGGCGTCCGTCCATGAAGGACGATGATGGGCGTCCGTCTGTTGATTAGGACGACACGGGGCGTCCGTCCGTTGATAAAGGACAATGCTGGGCGTCCGTCCGTTGATGAAGGATTACGTTGGTCGTCTATCTATTGATGAGGACAGTGCTTGAGCGGTTGTCTAATGATGAGGACGACGCCTGCCCCTTGAAGATGACGTCACTGAT